ATATATATATATATATATATATCTATCTATTTCTCTCTCTCTCCTCTCTCTCTCTCTCTCTCTCTCTCTCTCTCACGCACACGCGCATGTGTATATGTGTGTGTGTGTGTGTCTGTCTCTGTCACTCACACACAGACACACACACACACACACACACAGACACACACACACACACACACATACATATATATATATATATATATATATATATATATATATATATATATATATATATATATATATATATATATATATATATATATATATATATATATATATATATAAATGAAGAATATGAAATAAGAAATAGTACGTAAATGTTTATAATTTGTGTTTTAAGTTTGACTTCGTTTATATATTATTTTAACATTAAGAAAATAAGAATTACAATTAAATATTTATACTAAAGTTTTATTATTAAAAAGGTCGGTTGACTGATATTATCTAATCAATCGACTTTTGAGGAAACCAAAAACCATCAACCGACCAATTTACGTATAGATCGATTAAAATTACCGTCCCAACTACACGGGCTAATTACCAGCTATCGTTCAATAAAAAAAGTGAATCGAAAGTGGAATAATCAAAACCGATAAAACCGATGTATGTCCAGCACCACCACTGTTGAAAAAGGTTGTAGAGAATCGATGCACCACTTAATAAAGACCCACGTGTAGAATCGCAATAAAGGAAAAAGAAGCCTTTATTAATTCGAATAATTGAGAGGTGTTGTGGCAAAGACAAATAAATGGACAGATACTAAATAATAGCACATGTTTACTACAAAATAGAAATCTCAAAATAATAGCACATGTTAAAAAAGCACATGTATATTCGATTTTCAAGTTAGAAAAGAAAGTGCATTTTAATTTCAGACCGGTTTTGCATAAAAGTAAAACCATTTTTGTTCCAAGTAAGAAAATCAGATGTTACATTTCATTATTTATATTGGGGAAATTTGAAGCGTAAATCTACATATCCACACACACACTTATATGTATGTGTGCATAGTGAATAACTATTTAATCAAATCTACAGTTTAAATCTATTCGACATAAATAACCAGGTGCATCATCTACCTTCTCGTCCAAGCCCTAAATAATTCTGCTATTATCTAGAAGTGAAAAAAAATAGTCGTCTCATACATTATAATATATATAATAATAAAATTTTGAATTTTGGGTATTGAGCATTCTCAAAATCTGAAAAAAAATATTACTATTGATGAAAGTATCAGAATAGTGGGTTATTAATTAAACACCTTCCAATAAGACTAGGGGTGAAAGTCGGATGGATCGGATCGGAATTAACCTTTCTGGAAAAAATTTAAAAAAAAATCCGAAGTGCAAAATCAATTCTTATTCCAATTCCAAAAATTTTGGAATCTAAAAATTAATTCCAATTCCAGAATGCCCAGAAATTTCGTGAAAAAAAAAAAATCGGAAATCACATAAGTTTTAAAATTTCAAAACTTAGTCGGAAATTTCTAAAAAATAAGAACATCCACGTCGAAAAAAGTAAAACTAATAACTACTAAATTTCAATTCAAAAAAAAAAAAAAAAACCATATCATAATATCGAATAAAACTTCTAACAACAACTCAATATGTTAAAATCCTAAAACAAAATGTAATCAAATTAATGTTTGAGAAGAAAAAATGAAAAAATATAATAAGTATTATATAATATATATTATTTATAGGTGTATTTTTCGGAAAAAAAATCGGAATTTTTTGGAATTAATTTCGGAAATTAAATCGGATCGAAAATTGAAAATTCCAACTTTTTTTTTATATAATTCAATTTCCAATCCAAGAAACCGGAAAAAATAGAAAATCGGAATTTCGGAAGTTGGAATAACAAAAGTTGTTCCAAAATCGGAACTTTTCGGATCGGAACCGGCGGAAATTGGAATTTTCGTTCCAATTTACATCCCTAAATAGGACTAAATTACACTCACTGCGTTTCACAATATCTGTTTGTTTGAAAAAAAAAATTGTTCCTATGTCACTTTACTATTCCAATACTGCATTAGTTACATATTTTTTTTAATTATTCCCTTACTCTCCAACACTTAGTAAATAAGGGTGATGGGTGCAAATTTAGACAGGATGACCTGTTTTAATAGAAAAATCGGATGCCATAGGATGATTGACACGTGGATAGTTTAAATAAAAATATAATTATGATTCTAATAATTGGAAAAAAAAAAAAAAAAAAAACCCAGCAGAAACCGTAACCCATCTAACCGGAATTAACGTGATTTATTAAGAGTTGAGAGTTAAGAAAGTCGCATATCAAAAAATTAGTGGAATCCGATTTATATTAAATATCGATTGATCCCTCAGAATTTAATCTCTTATAAAAAAGAATTTGACTATTAAATTAGGAGTTGTATTTAGTAATATGTGGAAGGATCGGACATAGAATTATTAGATTTGCCTTTTTTCAGTTGTCTAATCCCCAACAAAGTAGATAAACAATCATAAATCACAACCAATTTTTATTTCCGAATCAAGAAAAAGTACAACAAACATAGCACATAACATTGCAATCCAATCAAACTAAAAATAAAATACAGAAACGACGCCGCTTCACCTGAATTAACAGCCAGGGAAACATCTTATTCATGCAAATTTACCAAAAGGGAAATCGATGATTTCATTAATTAACTGGGTGGTGGAGTTGGATTCTCGATGATCTTGATACCACCAATAGTAACACCAGGCCCCTGATGCCTCGGCACCAACGTAACCACAATCGTGTCATCGTCTCCGACATCCATGTCATCGTACAACTCCGTCAGCTTCAGCCGGATCGAAGTGGTGGCAGTTTTATTCGCCGTCTTGTGCGGCACCTGCGCGTACGTTCCCGCGTACGCCGCCTTGTCCAGCTCCGTCGCGCCATCGTCCTCGTCGTTCACGAAAACGTCGAACTTCAGAAACTTTGTCGTGTCGACCGTAATGTTCTCGAGAACCAAGAGCTCGTCCGCTTTCCCCTTCTTCGATTTCTGAACCTCGAACCTGACGACCCTGTCGAGCTTCAGAGGGAACAGCGTCTCCGCCTTGGGGGCGGCGGAGGCGCTGGTCCTCGTGATCCTGGCCGCCGCCGCCTGCGGCGGCGGCCGGTAGTCCAGCCACGGCAGATCCACCCTCTCGTACTCGTACCCCATTTTAAGATTGTCCAACGAGTCCTTCACTGAAACCCTAACGAGCTGCTTGTTCTCGTCATAGAACAAGAAGGACGCGTTGAGGAAATCCGGGTCGGTGATCTTTTTGTCGGGCACTTTGTTGCTCGGCAGGAAGTACTGCCACAGCGTCCACATGCGGTCCACGTTGCAATGGTGGGAGTAGAAGAGCGAGTCCCGCCCCGCCGAGTAGAAGTTGCCTAGATCCTCCCCGCTCGGCTCCCGCGGGTCCCCCACGAACACGTGGATCGCCGTGTGGGACCCGCGCTCAGACGAGCCGGGGCCAGGGTTCACAGCCGTCCCCTCTCTGTAAGGCTGTCCCATGAAGTCGTACACGTCAGCATTCCCACGGATCATCTCCGAGTACATTACGGTCAGATTATTGGAGACCACCTGAAGAGGGTCCTTGTTTCCGGTCATGCCGAGATCCACGATGGCTTTCAGGTTGTCCTGGTTCCGCTTTGAGTTGTAGATTGCGGATTTTTCGTCGAGAAACATGGGCGGGATGGTCATGCCTTTAGGGTTGTCCCAGTTCCAGAACGGCAGAGCAAATGTCGGGTCTCCGATAAGTTTCCCGAGGATTCTTTCGTAGAAATATAGGTACCATCGATGGAACGGAAAGAAGAGCCACGAGTTGTGGATTTGTAAATCCAGCGAGCCCTGCCCCGGTTGGTCGTAAGCGCCGTTGCAGTAAGCACAATGTATCATGGCTTGCTGGCTGAAGCTACGTGGATCGTCGTCCGGGAGGCGTTTCATGCGGTCCACGGCGAGGTTGTACTTGAACATGTACTGGGCCGAGACCCTGTGGGCCGACGGCCGTAGCTTCATGCGCAAGGCCGGCGGGATCTTGTAGTCGATGATATTGTCGGTCACCGGCGGGCAGCAGTTGAGATCCAGCTTCTTGCCGGTGTTTAGGTCGGTGGCGGTGCCGCACTTGTCGAGCTGCGGCGCCTGGACCGGGTTGGCGGAGGCCTCAGGCGGTGTCGAGACGAGACTGGCAGCGGCTCCGTAGAGGCCGCCCATACCGAGAAGGACGTTGCGCCGGTCGAGTTTTCCTTGGGGATGAGTGCTTTCGGGGTTGTCGTTTTGTTTTTGGGCGGAGATGACGTGGAGGCCGCGGTGGTGGTGGCTGCCATTTGCATGGCGGGTGATGAAGAGTGAGGGTTTGGTGAAGAGAGGAGGAGGGGAGGAGTGGCGGAGGGGAGTGGCGGAGGTGGTGGTGGTGGTGGCGCATGAAAGAGGAAGAGAGGCCATAGTTGGTTTTGCTTTAGTGAATGGTTCTTACTTCTTAACGTTGGGGAGTGCTTGGTGATTTATAGCGGATTGATGTTAAGAGAGTGGGACCATTTTTCTCAAATAGGTGTTGTTGCATTAAAGCCGAGGTAGGTATAAATTATTGACACTAATTCAATGTTTTTTCTTTTCTTGTATTCTCTTTTTATTTTTCATTTCTTCAAATGGCCACGTTTTTTAAATTGTTGGTTCACGGCTGGAACCAGGATCAAAATATAAGGGGGCGAATTAAAATTTCGGGGTTTGGGGGCCGCGCTCCGATTTTTTTTTTTTTAGGTTTACAAGACATTGCAAAAAATAAGTTTATATTGATATATTTTAAATTAAAAATAGTATATATATTATAGTCTTATCATATTTTAAGCATGACAAAATAATCTAAATCAATTCAAATTATTCTAATAATGCATTGCACTTAATATTTTAGGGATTCATGACATCGTCTCATATTATTTTTTTCATATTATTTTTTAGAGTCACTGATAACAAAAAAAATAAAAAATAAGTAAGTATTCATAAATTTTATTTAAAATAATACAAGTTTTAACCATTTTATTTTATATATATATATATATATATATATATATATATATATATATATATATATATATATATAAGATTATGTAGAAGAAAAAAAAATTAAGGGCTAAAACACATATTTACAAAAACTTTACGGGGTCAAAAGTAATATTCAAAAAATACAATACCAAAATACCTTAAAAAAAGGTTTAATCTTGGGGGTCAAGAGCCCCCTGCCCCTTATAAGTTCCGCCACTGTTCACAGTGTGGATCGTCGGTTCCGAAACGGTAATATATTGAACAAAAACCGGCTCGGGAAACTGACGATTACGGGCTGGTTCATGAACCATCAATTCTGCGGTTTTGAGTTGTTTTGTGGAATCATCGGTTCCGAAATCGTAATATATTGAACGAAGACCAGCCCGGGAAATTGACGATTAGGGGCTAGTTCAAGAAACCATCAATTCTGCGGTTTTGTGTTGTTCTTTTAGAAGAACTCAACTAATATAAAAAGTAAAAAGTAGAAATTGCGTTGTTGATAATAAATGAAATTAATGGAGTATATGGAAGGCATGCACATTACACACACTCCTCTATGCTATAATATGTACTCTCATTCTTGTATTTACTATTCCTATTTCTTATTTACCACACTTCAAATAAAACTTTGCTTTTAAAAATACTACATTTGGAAGAATTTATAAAGATTTGAAAGTATTTGAAATTAATAATAGGTTAAGTATTGAATAAGCTAGTTTTAAATGGTAGAGGCACTTGGTTTCCGACAAGCTTGATAGTAGCTTTATTGGAGATATTAATATTAAATTGAGACATTTCACAATATATAAGCTTCAGCTTTTGATTGAAATAGTCATTCACATGGTATCAGTCTATCAGAGTCAGACAAACTAAAAAAGTCTGAATTCGAACTCTACCACCACCCATTTTAAATATTCAAGTTCAAAACTTCAAATGTAATTCCCATGCACTTAAGGGGTAAAAGGTAATTCTACAAAATTTTAAAATTTGAATTTCTAATGTAACACCGATGACTTTACTAATATACTTTTTTTTTTATTACTTTACTTTTCTCCTCCTTTTTTTTTGGTTTGAGTGGTCCTATTTCCACTACTCAATTATCTCAATTTACCATTAAATTTATATAAAATATCATAAATATTCTTCAAATTTCTAATATACATACCATTCTTCCTTATATTTGCTTAATCCCTTTTGTTCTATTTTTTTCTTTTTTTTTTTTTTTTTTTTTTTTGTTTTTTTGTTTTTTGCAATGAAATATTTATTACAATATATTTAAACTTCCATATCAGAGATTATGTAACTTGTGTTAATGCAATATAGCATTTCATCAAAATTTGCGCAGTATAATTGTGAACTTTAAAATTTTATATGGTTAGCCGACGGTTGATCTTTCCCAAAATTAACCTAAAAGGGTAATACAAGAGTCTAATAATCTTGTGATCTGAATCAGTTTCTGGGCATATTGCACTGAATGAAATGTAATCCATTCTTTCAAATTTTAATCCACCGAAAATAAAAATATAAAAATCTCTAGTTTTTTTCTTTTTAAACAAAATTATTTCTACACAAACGCTCTTAATTTATTTCTCCAATAACATGTATTCCGGCTCTTTTTAACCATCGGGTACTTGTCTATGACGAAGGTATCATTCACTTAAGGTGGAGATGGTACAATCCTTGTCGGGCCAAGGGATGGGGGCCCTGGGGGCGAGGAATTTCGCCTTTTGGTGCAAGGTGGAGATGGTAAGATTTTGTGGAAAAGATTCTAGTGGAGTCCTTTTGTGAATATTATAATTAGTTTGTTTGTGGACAATTTATAAACTTATACATGATATGGGTAAAAGAAGAAAAATGGGTAAAAAAAAATATAAATTAATTTGGTGGTGAAATAAGATATTTTGAAGGTGAAAATAGCACGTCTTTTTATATTTATAATAACTAATAAGTAATAATCATTTTTGTTTTGTGGTAATTATTAATTTAATAAGTATTCGTAACTATTGGGGTCTTTGAGATGTTACACCTGGTGAAATACACCGGCAAATAATCACCCGTAGCATCAAAGAAACCTAACTATTGGTACCCTGCCCCCAATTTTATTTGCCCTTTCATCTCACTTCACCCTCACAACCCCGAATCGGGAACAAATAGACCATATCTGCAATAATTTTAGAAGTTATAACTGCACGAAGAATTAAATTCTGATACTTTCTCCATTTCCTTTTAATAGTCGTTTTATATAGTCGTTTTATAGGTTTGCACAAGAATTAAGAATATCGTTAAATTTATTTTGATTTTAGGACAACGAACACTTTTGGACTAAAATGACCTTATTAAATAATTAATTAGAGAGGGAAATAAGTTACATGATTAAACTTAACCTAGACCAAGTTAATTTTCCGACGTAAGATTATAAATTTCTATTTTTAGGTGAATAGATGATAAAAGTCAATATGGGCGATTACATATTTCCATTTTAGCGGTACAGTTCCGTTAAGATTCAGCCTCGGAACTCGTAATCATATAAATTAATTAAGTTTTTTTTTTTTTTTTTTTTTTTAATTTGCTGACTAATACCAGTCATAATTCAAATGAAATGATGTTTACGGTTACAAAATTGCTATTTGCGGTATTTCACAAAATCCCCTAAAACTTTCAAAAAAATCAAAATATCCCCCAAACTGCAAATAGCAAAAAAATCAAATATTCAAAATCAAGCTTGAAGAAGGGTTGGGCTTCGATTTGTTGATGTAATTTCGACTCTTTTATGTGTAATATGCATTGGGTAGATCGATTACGGAACCAATTTCATGTTAAAAAGCCCTACAAATCGATTTGTAGAGCTTTTTTTTTCGCAAAAAAATGTTCGAACGCCCAAGATCGCCTTTAAAAAAAAAAAATTTGCACTGGACGCCCAACTCGAGTGCCCAAATGCAGCTTGCACGCCCAACTTGGGCGTGCACTGCATGAATAGGCGCCCAAGTTGGGCTTTTACGCGTTTTGGGGGTATTTTTGGATTTTTTTGGGAAGTTTTGGGGTTTTAGAAAAATAAAGTGTTTTTTGTTATAAACCGCAAATAGCAATTTCAAACTGCAAATAACAATTCCCTAATTCAAAGATATCATGCTAAAAAATAATAATAATAAAAAAAAAATCAGGGAAACTTTATTTTATTGCAAATTAAACCACAAGACAAATTAAAACCAGTCGTCGATCAACAAGCTAAATTGAAAACAAACAACTTCCTGATCCCACCGCCGGAATTACCAAACAACAAAATGCAAATTAAAGATAGAACAAATATAAATAAATATGAAAGATAAGTGCCCTATGATGTTTTGGCAGGCGTGGGGTTCTCGATTATCTTGATCCCACCAATGGTGACACCCTCACCCTCATGCCTAGGCACCAGTGTCACCAACACGGTGTCGTCTTCGGTCACGTCCATGTCGTCGTACAATTCCGTCAGCTTCAACCTAATAGTAGTCGTCGCCGTTTTCTCGTTCGTCTTGTGCGGGACCTGCGCGTACGTCCCGGCGTACGCCGCCTTGTCTAGCTCCCCTACGTTATCGTCCTCGTCGTTCACGAACACATCGAATTTGAGGAACTTGCTCGTGTCCACCGTTATATCCTCTATCACGAGCAACTCGTCCGCTTTTCCTTTCTTCGTCTTCTGAATCAAAACCCTAGCGATCCCGTCGAGTTTCAGAGGGAAGACCGCGTCGGCCTTCCGAGTGGTCGAGACGGTTCTCATGACCTTGGCTTGTGCCGTCTGTGGGGGCGGCCTGTAGTCGAGCCACGGGAGATCGACTCTCTCGAAATCGTACCCCAATTTTGTGTTGTCCAAACAGTCCTTAACGGTCACGCGGACGAGCTGGGCGTTCTCGTCGTAGAATAGGAACGAGGCGTTGAGGTAATCGGGATCGGTGATCTTTTTGTCAATCAATTTGTTGTTCGGGAGGAAGTACTGCCACAATGTCCACATCCTGTCGACGTTCGCGTGGTGGCAGTAGAAGAGCGGGTCCCGCCCGGCCGAGTAGAAGTTTCCCAAGTCCTCTCCACTCGGCTCGCGAGGGTCCCCCACGAACACGTGGATGGCAACGTGGGACCCACGCTCCGACGCCCCGGGGCCAGGGTTGACTAGGGTTCCCTCGCGGTAAGGCTTCCCCATGAAGTCGTAGATATCCGAGTTAGCACGAACCATCTCCGAGTACATCACGGTGAGATTGTTCGACACGACCTGAAGAGGGTCCTTGTTTCCGGTAAGGCCGAGATCCACCACCGCCGGCGGCATATTGGCCGGATTGCGCTTAGCGTCGTAGATCGCGGCTTTCGGATCGACGAACATGGGAGGGATTGTCATGCCCTTGGGATTGTCCCAGTTCCAGAACGGCAAGGCAAATGTCGGGTCTCCGATCAATTTCCCGAGGATTCTTTCGTAGAAATATAGGTACCATCGATGGAACGGAAAGAATAGCCATGAATTGTGGACTTGTAAATCCAGAGTGCCCTGCCCCGGTTGATCGTAAGCGCCGTTGCAGTAAGCGCAATGAATATTGGCTTGCTGCATGAAACTACGAGGGTCGTCCTTCGGGAGACGCTTCATGCGGTCGATCGCGGTGTTGTACTTGAACATGTACTCTGCGGAGACTCTATGAGCCGATGGCCTTGTTCTCATTTGGACGAGAGGAGGGGGCTTGAAATCGATGATGTTTTTCCCCATCGGCGGGCAACAGTTGATATCGAGTTGTTTGCCGGTGTTCAAGTTCGTTGCGACACCGCATTTGTCAATCTGCGGTGCCTGCACGGGATTGGCCGAAGCGGTGTGAGTTGAGATCAGGTTGGCCGCTCCGCAGAGGCCGCCGAATCCCAAAAGGACGTTCCTCCGGTCGACGTTCCCTTGGGGAGTGTCAGCATTTTGGGATGAATCTTTCTGTTTTTGGCTATCGGAGCAAGAAATTTGGAGGCGGTTGTTTCGCTTTGCGTGTGTGATGAGATGGGATGGCTTGGCGAAGTGGTGGCGGGAGGAGGGGCGGGTGGCGGAGGAAGGGGTGGTGGCGGTGGTGGTGCATGGAATATGAAGAGATGCCATGGCTAAATGGCTTTTGTGGTTTGTTATGTTTGTGATGAAACAAGAGAAGATCTTGCTTATTTATAATGGATTAATTGTTGGAAATTTGACCTTTGGGCTATTGATGGTAGTATATATATATATATATTTTAATGCATATAAGTTAGTAGTGTTATTATTAAAATCTAGCTCTGGTATTCTATTTTGGGTAATGGTTTTAGTGTATACAAATTGGCAATATTTTGAACCCAAAAATAAAATGGCAATTCTGGATAACTCAAATATAATAAGGTAAAGTTGGGTGATAATTCTACTCTTATTACCGGGCGGGTTTTGGTAAAATTCACACGTACCGGCTCACCCCTGGATCCGTAAAAAAAATATTTTTACGTTTATAATTATTTATATTACATCTATAATTATTTAATTAATATCTTTAAAAATTAGTGATTTATAATATAAGAAATATATAAAATTAATAAAAATATATAAACAGGTTGTATACAGAGGGGGTAAGGGTCCGCCCCATTAGCTAACGGAACGGGATTACCCGATAAATCTGGCAGGGCGGGGCGGGTACCCGGTGAGGTGGGTTAAGTTGCCATCCTTACATATACCCTTTAAATATGCAAGGCACCAACCAAATTTCAATTTAAAAATATGATCGAAAACGTAAAATCTTTTATTTTTTATTTTTTGAGAAGTATCGAATACGTAAAATGTCAGGGATGTGATAAATGTCGTTCGAGCTTTAATAATACCGTTACGACTTCAAACGTGATTTTGATCATCTTTTATTCCAAATTTTGCAAAACCCAAAAAAGAGAATTTGTAGCATTCTGAGTTAGTTTTCTAATCCAACTTGAATCACCAAAATTGGATGTCGGACGAGAAAGATATACATGAATCAATGGATACTGCCCACAACTTTGATGTATTGAGGTATCTAAAATTCAAAATGTGACTCATTCATGCATAACTTTGTCACACGGCATCCAATCTAGCGGATTTAAGTTGAATTAGAAAGCTAACCCAAGTGACTACAGTTTTCGTGTTTCGAATTTTGCCAAAATCGAAATAGAAATATGTCAAAATCATGTTCGAAGTCAAAACGACATTAGTAAAATTGAAACGACATTTAACATTTCAGAAAATGTTATTATAATTAAAAAAAAAAGTTCTATTCAAATTGAACTGAATGAATATGAAAATTGAACTACATGAATTTTTTTTGAAAAAAGTCGGTGCGTTGCCCGAAAACCCTGCATATTTATAATTCACCCTCGTATAAAATCAGGCTTCATGACTATATATATACAGTGGCAGTCAACATAGGGCCAGGGGGGCCATGACCCCGTAACATTTCTCAAATCTCTATTAATTTATATAAATAAAAGATAAAAAATTTGTATACAATACCATTAACGCCCCGCCCCTCCCAATATTTTTTTTTTAATTTGCATTCGGCTCCTCGAACTTAAAACCCTGGCTCCGCTATTAATGTATATATATATATATATATATATATATATATATATATATATATATATATATATATATATATATATATATATATATATATATATATATTGTAGATGAGAGAAAATGGTCATTACATCACAACTAAGTTAATGCATGTGAAGCTGCAACAAACTGAATACAAATTACGAAGCAATCAGTAAGACGTGCAAATGGTATTGGCGGGGAAACAGGGAGAGCATGTGAGCGTGTATGGGCAAATTGTATGAATATTCCACTGGTTTCCCGCTTTAGACTTTACCAAGTACTCCGTTCATAAATATGTGTTGCTTTTCACTTTCACAAAGATTAAGAAATTCAATAAATGTAGCTTGATTTTAGGAAAATCACATAAAATGACTTAACAACATTTATCATTTAGGGTCTGATTGGTTTGCAGAAAACTGTATGTAAAAAGGTGAAAAGTCTAAGGAATTCATTTTTCCTGTTTGGATACAAAGAAAAATACTGAGTAAAGTAATTTGGGGAAAAAGGTGAAAAAATTTATAACCTAAAATAAGGAAAAAGCCTTTTCCTCAAAAAAAGTGAGGAAAATGTGAGGGAAAAAATGATCGGGCCTTTCTTCTCTACTGCTCTTCTTATTTTTTTTGTTTAATTTCTTGAATTCTCCGCCGCCATCTCCCCGCTGGCCGCCACCACCACCACCACTATCACCACCACCACCTTTTCCGCCACCTCCACCAGACCCTCAACATCATCAATTGCTGCCACCAGCAACCTCTCCGATGCCGCCTCCACCACCACCAGATCCTCAAGGCCTCAACACCATCAACCACCGCCTGCAACCTCTCCGTCGCTGTCTAGAACATGTGAGTTTTCCTCTCCGCCGGATGATTTCTCCGCCCCACCCACCACCATCGCCATCGCCGACTCTAGGCCGTCAAAATAATTTCTCGCTCCGCCCACCACCACCGCTGCACCGCCGCCGTCAACTTTTTCTTGTCATCCGCCCAGATGATTTCTCCTCTTCCGACTATAAATTGCCCATCGTGTGTGTGTGAAGTGGGAAATTGAGATTCATTTATTTTAATTTTATATTTTCTTATTTTTGCTTTAAAATTATTATTATTATTATTATTATTATTATTATTATTATTATTATTTTTATTATTATTATTATTTATTGTGGTCTTTAATTTAATTTTTATTTTTATTTTTATTGTTAGGTCGGTGGTGGGGGTGGGGTTAGGGGGTGAGGGGGTCTGGGGTTAGGGAGTAATATAATTTTGAAATTTAATTTAGTTTTTAGTAATAATATAATTTTACTTAATAATTTTCTCTATTATTTTCCTTTAAGAACCAAACAAAACTAAGGAAGATGATTTTCCTTAAAATTAGTTTCATCACCATTTTTCTTAGGAACCAAACACAATTAGGATTTCGAAAGTCCTTGATTTCCTTTTCCTTTGCATTTTCATTTTCCTTATTTTGAAATCCATGAACCAATCAGAGCCTAAATGATTTATAAGAGATAATTAATGTTTAGAGCTGCAATAATAAGGTTAAAACAGTAAAAATGCATTTATTGCAGTATTTGAAATCTAAAGTGACAGATAATATGGAACAATTTTTTTTATAAATGTGACAGTTATTGTGGAACAGTTGGAATATTAATATCTGAAATCGGCGCTCTTTTTTTCTTGGGCATTAATGAAATATTGGTTTGGCATTATTCGGAGCCTATGGGAACTCATAAGTCTTAAGTCATAACTAATAAATTTTTGTTTATAAAGTTGAACTAAAGGAGGAAAAATGGAGGGAATATAATGGAGATAGGAGAGAATGGAGGGGAAATTGAAGGAATTAGGGCTTTTTTAATTGGAAAAGACAATAATGACCTTGGATTTCGCATGTGCAACGTGCGCGCGTGGGTTCAGAACCGGTTATTTTAACCTGAAAACGGGCAAAAAATGGCAAAGTGGCACAATTAATTGAGTACAAGTGAACTCGTGCAAATAATTTATTTAGGGAGTGATCCGCAAAAATATAAAAAGTTGAGGTGGATTAATGCTATTTATCCTTCTTGTTATGGACAAAACTATACTTTAATATTTTTCAATCATGAGTACTGCAATTAGGAAATAGTACAAGGCAGTACATTAAAACCAATCTATAAAACTCATCTAGTTTATGCTTTTCTTTGATATGATCGAAAGACAAATACACATCCATCATAGAAATGGGAAGAAACGAAACAACTATCATTTTATTTTTGCCTTCCCAGGAGTCATTGTATGATCGACCGGCTATTATTGCAGCGTGTTAGCGGCTTTGGTGCGGTGGTTAGACTGTTGTAGTCGCCTGAAGGCTCCAAAGTCACCAACACACTGCCATAACCGCCAGGTCACAAGAAATGGAAATTATTAGGAATGACGGTGGGTCACATCTGCGACACGACCGATTCTTGAAAAATATGAAAAACCCAAACCCAACCCACCCTATACCCGAACTTAATGACTGGCTAGACACGTTAATATCAAATATTTTTTTTTTAAATCTTTTACAATTACTAATATTTTACTCTTATATTTACAACAAAAACAATCTCCACATTCAAGTGCACTATTTCAAAAATTTTATAAATGTTAAAGTGTTAAGAATTATTATATTATAATCAATGATAGTTGGTCTTTTTAGGTTGGGTAGACTAATATTACGCAGGCCTGGCCTTAGAGCATAGGTAACTTAGCCGGATGTCTAGGGCCCTAAAACTATCTTTCATATACTTAGACCCCCTTAAATTATGTGTATTATAATTTGAACCCCTAAGTTTAATTTTTATTTTTGTAAAACTAAACAATATCACTAGGCCAAAATGCAAGACTGGCGACGTTTTTTTTCGCGACGGTTTTTTGTTCGTTGCCAATTTGCGACGTTTGAGAGCTATAATCGTCGCTTAAAGTGGAAAATCCAGGCTAAGTTCAAAACTCTAGCGACGATTCAGCGTGGTCGTCGCTAGTTCGCGACGAACCAGGTATAAACGTCGCTGTAGCAACAAATTCTTATCTGCGAATTTAACAAACAAGAAAATACTTGCACAAAGATAATTTATTGAATTAAAATAAAATATTGCGGGTTACAAACTCTAATTTAATCCTCTGATTATTCTCTCAAGAAAAATATATGATTGACTTTGAATTTCGGAGACGAGTCGTTGATTTGATCTTCTCCGGATTTGATTTGGATTTGAATAACGTCTTCCGAGGGTCTTGCGACTTGAATCTCGGATCGAACGCTGAACTTTGACGGATTTTGACTTGAAGATCTTGGAGTTCTTGATGGATTTGGCCCTTCAATCTTCCTTCGATCTTGATTTGATGTTAATAACGTTAATTCGAGGGTTTAGCACCGTAATCTCGAATTAAACGCTTTAACGCCTTGATTTGATGAAGAACACCTTCGATTTGATGAACTCCTTCGATTTGATGAAGAACGCCTTGAATTTGATGAAGAACGACTTGAATATTGTAGAGAGAATTTTC